GTTTTGCAGAAAATCTATTCGTATATTAATTCTGTAATAGAGTCAGTCTGCTTCTAATTAATGTTTCAACTTCGCTATATCTATCATGGCTATACTTTCGAATTAGTTAGATTTCGTTACATTCGTTAACACACACACATATGTTCACATACACATACGTACACTGAATTTTCACATTTCAGAGTGGACTGGTTTAATTCATATACAAATTTAATATAATTCTCATTTGGTACACAGGCTTAAGTTTGACTCATGGCGCGTTCATGACGCACATCACAGCATATCAAAAATAAATGATACTTGCTCTGCAATTGAGTTTCGAGTTACGGTTACAGTTTGTACAAAATATTTCTAACATGTCAAGTTTATTTATTTATTTTGATACTACAACTGACTGATGCAACTGTAAATCATAGGTTAGGTTAATGCGTTCGTGTTCGTTCACAAAATGCAGACGTCTTATTTTGAACGTCCTGAAGCATACGTGTCCGAAAGAATGTGATATGTATAAAAATGTAAAGAATGGTCGTATCCACGAAGAAGGATCATATAACGAAAGACTGGAAAGGCCGTTAAACGCGAAAATCGTTGTCCATCAAGGAACAAGTGTCCCATAAGGATCAAGGGAGGAGCGATATTCCATCGGATCGTGGCTTTTTCCGTGCACGGATTCCGGATTCTACGATTTCGATGCGGTCGTCGCGGCGATTTATTTCGTCAAGATCGTCGCCGAGATATCGGAGGGTCTCGAAAAGCCGCGACAAAACCTGGTCGCAATTTGGCACGGTGTGCGCCGTGCTCTGGCATCGACGGTAATGAAGATTGAAACGTTCCCCGGTCCCTGAGGCCCCCGGAGACGAGCCGCGACGAGATGAGACGAGACGCGAGCGAACCAGCGAGCAAAGCGGAATGCAGCGAACGCGCGATCAAGAAGATTCCATAAATATCTGCGCTCCGCGGCTTCTACCGCTGAGAGAAAAAGACAGTGATCAACAAAAACGATTGCACCTCGTTCAATTAAAAAATTAAGAATTACTGAACATAGCAATTTTTCAGGAACATATGTAACACACTTTTTAAAAACAATGGTTAATAAATATTTCTTTAAAGGACCATTCAATGTTGGTCCCTTAAAAATTTTATGTAAATCACTTTTCAAAGAATTGTCAATAAAAATCTCTTTCAAGAATTTTTAATAAACACTACATTTAGTCTGCTGTTCCTTTCGTCAAACAAAAATAGATACATTTATGCAAAATTTCGTATGTGATCCATAGGTGTATATGTCATATGGTACCCAAAATGCTGATCATGAAGAATGTTCACAAGCCTTTCACAAAAAAACAAATTGTCTGTGTTATACGATTAAAAATAATATGACAACTGGTACCTACTTAGCAAAAATATGTACAAGTTAACTCATATGTGTATATTCACATATGTGCGAATTCACATGACTTGTTATATAGACATTAGCCATTCAAAATACAACTTCTGTGTGTTATGCAATAAAAAACAATATAACATAGTACCCACATAAACTTAACAGAGCAAAGATGAGTACATGTTAACCCATATGTGTTCTCCACATGTAACTTCATATATGAATGACATGGCTCTCAAAGTGCTAATGACGAAGAAGAATGTTTACAAGCTATTCAAAACACAATTTCTGTGTTATACAAAAAAATATAACATAATCTAGTACCCACATAAACAAAGCAAAAATGTGCATACGTTGACCCATATGTGTTCTGCATATGTGACTCCGTATATGGATGACATGGCTCTCAAAGTGCTAATGACGAAGAAGAATGTTCACAAGCTATTCAAAACACAATTTCTGTGTTATACAAAAAAATGTAACATAATCTAGTACCCACATAAACTTAACAGAGCAAAAATGTGCATACGTTGACCCATATGTGTTCTCATATGTAACTCCATATATGGATGGCAGCCACAGTGCTAATCACTAAGAATGTCCACAAGCCATTTAATGTCTACAAGCTAATAAATTCTGCAATTAAATTATAATTATATTGCATTACAATTATATTCAATTATAATTAAATTGCATTACAATTATATCGAAAATAAAACAACCTAGTACCAACAGAGGAAGAATGTACAGGTTAACCCTATACAAGAAAATACTTGAGAATCCACATAGTCGGCCCCTGGAGATCGTTCTCATCGATCGACCCTTTATAATAATGTAATCGCGGCAAATGAGGAAAATTGGTATAAAATTGCAGGATCGACCGGTCGATCCAGGCGGGCCAGCCGAGAAGGGGCAGCGGCTGGTCTTCCTTGGTCGGCCAATGGCTGCCTCGCCACGTCAGCTGCCATTTCGATGGAAATGCGATGGATGTCCGCTATTTCGTATGATAAAATATCGCCGCAAAAACCGCCTGGCGAACCGGGCCCGCCCCGGTATTCTGCGGCCGCGCAAAGAGCCCTCGAAAACTTCCGATGCCTCTCCACTTACCGGAGCGGTTATCAATCGTTAACGGCGGAAAAACAGAGCCGAAACGACCATCTTCTAATGCAATATTTATTTAACGTCAACCCGCGAGAATGGTCGAGGAATCTGATCTTCAATTAATACTGTGACACGAAACTTTTAGTTGTAATCGGTTCAGGGGGTACACAACATTTGAATCACCAATTCGTGGGATTAGGGGCGGTATTATAAGGAGCAAGTTTGCAAAACCTTAGTACGAAACTCTTTAAAATCGCAAAGTTATAAGGGATCGAAGTTTGAGAATTTTGGGGTTAGAAAAAGTTCGAACGTTTCTTGAAATCCGAAAGTTCTCAAAATCTTAAAATTTTAGGACTTGTATGAAGGTTAAAATTTAGCAAAAATGTGCATACGTTGACCCATATGTGTTCTGCATATGTGACTCCGTATATGGATGACATGGCTCTCAAAGTGCTAATGACGAAGAAGAATGTTTACAAGCTATTCAAAACACAATTTCTGTGTTATACAAAAAAATATAACATAATCTAGTACCCACATAAACAAAGCAAAAATGTGCATACGTTGACCCATATGTGTTCTCATATGTAACTCCATATATGGATGGCAGCCACAGTGCTAATCACTAAGAATGTCCACAAGCCATTTAATGTCTACAAGCTAATAAATTCTGCAATTAAATTATAATTATATTGCATTACAATTATATTCAATTATAATTAAATTGCATTACAATTATATCGAAAATAAAACAACCTAGTACCAACAGAGGAAGAATGTACAGGTTAACCCTATACAAGAAAATACTTGAGAATCCACATAGTCGGCCCCTGGAGATCGTTCTCATCGATCGACCCTTTATAATAATGTAATCGCGGCAAATGAGGAAAATTGGTATAAAATTGCAGGATCGACCGGTCGATCCAGGCGGGCCAGCCGAGAAGGGGCAGCGGCTGGTCTTCCTTGGTCGGCCAATGGCTGCCTCGCCACGTCAGCTGCCATTTCGATGGAAATGCGATGGATGTCCGCTATTTCGTATGATAAAATATCGCCGCAAAAACCGCCTGGCGAACCGGGCCCGCCCCGGTATTCTGCGGCCGCGCAAAGAGCCCTCGAAAACTTCCGATGCCTCTCCACTTACCGGAGCGGTTATCAATCGTTAACGGCGGAAAAACAGAGCCGAAACGACCATCTTCTAATGCAATATTTATTTAACGTCAACCCGCGAGAATGGTCGAGGAATCTGATCTTCAATTAATACTGTGACACGAAACTTTTAGTTGTAATCGGTTCAGGGGGTACACAACATTTGAATCACCAATTCGTGGGATTAGGGGCGGTATTATAAGGAGCAAGTTTGCAAAACCTTAGTACGAAACTCTTTAAAATCGCAAAGTTATAAGGGATCGAAGTTTGAGAATTTTGGGGTTAGAAAAAGTTCGAACGTTTCTTGAAATCCGAAAGTTCTCAAAATCTTAAAATTTTAGGACTTGTATGAAGGTTAAAATTTCTAAAGTTTCTTAAAATCTGAAACTTCTAAAGTTACAGAATTCCAAAGATTCTAATATCCCAAAGTTCTCAGGACCCAAATTCTCAAAATTGCAAAATTCTCCAAGATCTGAAATTCTCAAGATCAGTGACCCTAAAATTCCAAAATTGTAAAGTAACAATCCCTAAACTTTCACGGCTCGTTGGACAAGTATTAAATCGCGTTTCCCGTCTAGAAAGATGGCCATTCGAACACAAACAAGTCCAACCATGCAACACCGCGGTTCTCGACCATTGGACAGCTAAATGACGCCACTTACGTTAGAATTCGAAGCGAGTAAACCGTCAAAGTGTACGACGACGACGGCTACGACGTCGACGAGTGGTTAGAAGCTTTCACTACAATTACGGAAAATTGCACTCCGCTCGTAACAGTTGTTTTTCGAGCGTTGCAGACGGCTTATCCGGTGATACCCGTAATACCGAACAATCGAACATACCCGACTTCTGAGTTCCTGGATTCTCCCTTCGACATATCCCCACGAGGGGATGTTTAACCCGTAAAGTGACGTGGGTGGTGTTTTGTTTCATTGCGAGTTAATAGATCGCGTGATTGAGTCTATTTGGGAGAAGTAGTTCAGGGGGCAATAAATCACATTATTGATTGCTATTTTACTCTTTTTAACATTAACCCTTTCGTGTATATTATACTCTTAGTTTATAAAAATTGTAATTCATAGACAATATTGACGTAGTCATGGATGATTTAATGTGCAGTTCATATGCAATTTTACATAAATTTGTATTTGACAAAATATGATATGTTACACATATGTTATACGTATTGATATACATTTGACACACATGTTACACATGTGATGAATTTATCACATTTCATGAAATATAAGATTAAACAAAATTGGAACTATTATTTTTACTTGGTAAATAATTTTCGTTCGAAATTTTGTTCTGAAAGGGTTAATGGATCGATATGCCTTTTACATAATAAAAATCGTGGAGTACTCACCTTTTCAAGCTCGAGGAGGTGAAACCGGAGGACCTGGATCGCCTGGACCATCTGTAACAGAATAAAATAGTCGAATGAAATTTTTTTTCAATATCACATAGTATATGTATATACGTATCTATACATATGTGTACATATGTGCATACTATGTATGTACTATAAATATGATGTATGTATGTACTAGTATAATAATTATTATAACAGTATAACTAACAAAGTAAATATTGTCCACAATAAACAGATTTCTATAACATCAGTACAACCCTTCTAAAAATTAAATATCTTAATTTGCTAATTAACCATGTTGCAAATTCTGACTAAATCAGTATCGTATCTGAACGTGCAGAAAGAACCGCACAAATTATAATATATTTTTTTTACGTCTCAGAGGATAAGATAATGTATCAAAACGTTAATGATTATTGAAAGTGAGGTTCTTAAATTTTATTAACGTTATAATGAATTAAGATCAGACCCCTTAAAACTTATGGCCCATAAAAAATTTCTTCCTTAAAATATTTTATCGGTTACTTAAAATTTTATTAAATAACTTCAGCAACGGTAGATACGCTTATCTTTAAGAGAATGAACTTAAAATTTGTTTGATGACCAATATCAGTGAAATTTATTTTCGGAAGTACATTCGTTGATAAGTGATATGAAGGTTGCGAAAGTTTTCTTTCTCTTTCGAATCTGTTTAAAGAAAAATACGGTGTTGGGACTGTAGAGGCAAATTAAATTTTGGGGCACTTAAAATAAATTAATTTTGGGACACTTGGGAGAAATGAAATATTAGGACACTTAGGACAAATTAAGTATTAGGACACTTAGGACAAATTAAGTATTAGGACACATAGAAGAAATTAAATATTAGAATACTCAGGAGAAATTAAATAATATTAGGACACGATAGGGAGGTTTCTAAAATTTGACGCAAAAACGTTGATTGTTTTTAATTAGAATTTTATCAAGAATAAAGTGAATTATGGAAGTTTGATAATTTTCTAATTTGGAGGTTATAGAATTCTTCAAGTTTAGAAACACAATAATTGAAAGACGTCTAAAAATATAAAAGCATAAATATTTTGAAAGTGCATTATCAGTACACGTTTTCCAAAAAAGTCGATATCTTCGCCGTAATCAATTTTTTTTGGCAAAAACAACGTATACAAGAGTCGAAAGTGTACACCGGAGCCACGGTCATCGGCATAATTTTCCGATACGCCGCAACATTTGCAGCCACCTCGAAGGAGCCCTCGCAATCGTCCGCTTTCTCGTTCTCCCACGTGTGCGAACGACACACAGCAAGGAAACACGGACGAACCTTTTGCTAGCAGAAGCGGCGATTCAATTAGGCAAAGCGGCAATCTTAATTGTTAATTAACATTATATTTATGCAATTATGGTCCATTATGATTCCAGCCGGACGATAACGAAGCGACCGCGATGAGTGCTCCCTTAGATAGTGACTCGAAAGCCCTCCTCTTCTCATCCTCCTCGTCATTCTCTCTCGATGCACCTTCTTCTCCACCTTCTACCGGCTTGTCGCTTCGTGTACACGACACCAACAGCCGGGTCATCGACTGACACAACTGCTATCCTGGTAAATACATGCGAGTGCATTTCGATGCGAGTCGTCGCCGATACGAACAATTCGCAATCAGCCTCTAATGGAACGGACTCGATTGGACTCTGGATCGTCGAACTCCAACGGTCCAAGATGGAGAACAACGTGCTCTCGACGTTTGCGGCAGGGTACTTTACCCCCCGCGTTACGATTCGCATTCTCTCAATATTTTTTATGCCTCAGATTTCACATTTTTTCATTCTGAATTTTGACACTCTTTAATTTTTATGGTGCAAGTTTTTAGAGCTCAATTTTTCAGACTTTTCTATTTTTAGGCCATCAAATTTTCAAGCTCCTCAATTTTTAAGAGGTTGAGTTTTCATATTTTTTAATTTTGTGCTCAAATTTTTAGGTGCTTAGATTTTCATACTTTTTAATTTTGTGCTCAAATTTTTAGGTGCTCAGATTTTCATATTTTTTAATTTTGTACTCAAATTTTTAGGTGCGCAAATTTTCATATTTTTTAATTTTGTGCTCAAATTTTTAGGTGCTTAGATTTTCATACTTTTTAATTTTCTGCTTAAATTTTTAGCTGCTCAGATTTTTATATTTTTTAATTTTGTGCTCACAATTTTAGCTGCTCAAATTTTTAGTTCTTTCAATTTTTAAGTGCTTAAATTTTCAAATTTTTCAATTTTAAAATACTCTAATTTTTCGGGTGTTCAATCCTTCAATTTATGATTCCTTCTTCACAATTCTTGTACATTAGAAAATGTGTAAGTTTGGTAGTATGAAGGATTAAAATTTGTTATAGAATTTAAAGATTGAAGAAAATTTAGAAATTCATTGCTCCAAAGTATAACATTCAAATAGCTATGATTTAATTTTAGGTGCGTCACAGTTGAAGTTCGAGTGCGTCACGAAAATAGTGCAAGTAATTAAGGATTTATAAAATTTCAAAATAATATATCTTAACATACAGAAATCCTCAATAATGCAACCACGCCATAAAATTTCGAATTTGCATGAAAACTCGAAACAAAAAAGTACACTCGATATGTTTCGACCACAAACAAATCGAAGCATTGAAAGTTTTGAGTTCATTCGCAGGCAGATCTGCGAGCGAAATCGAGCGAAGTGTTCGAGGCAGTGTATGGTTCGCGCCTCGAAAAGAAGAGCGGCAAGATGCAAGGGAAAAAAGAGAAGCGCGCGAAGGCACGTCGTAGCGAAGCGAGAAGAAGAGGAAGAAAAAGAAGAGATGCTATCAGAGCGAGTAACGAACGGGCAGAGTCTCTCGAACGGTTCGAGAGTTGACGAGATGGTGCGAGCGGAGGCAGCCGATTCGCCGCGACTCGCACAATGTCTCCACTATATTCTCCACTTTTGTTTCTCTTTTACCCATCTCGCGAATCCCGCTCGTCTCCGCTTTTCCCCTATGTTTTCGTTTCCCTCCGCGTCCAAGCGTCGCGGAACGTTCGATCGCGCAGATGCACGATCGAATAACGCGATCTGCATCTCGAAATTCTCGTGGTCCTTACTCTCGTAACGAGCACAATATCGCCTCTGTTGGTCGAAACACGACTGCGTTTCCTCCTCCTCGCGAGGTTTTGCCGCGATCGCTCATCACGTGATATTAATTAGGCGAGCAGCCCTCGTACACCGAGCGAGTTCAGTAGAGGAAGAGAAAAAGTGCGAAACGCGCGAAGAAACCGGGAGATGGTGTTATTTATAAGCGGACAGGGACGACGCGCTCGGAAGCGACGCCCGACGACGCTTCTCCCCTGCTACTCGAATCATTCTTTCGCGACGTCCATTTGCCAACAACGATTTGCATCGACCGATGCACCGTACACACGCGAGCGTATTCGATGCATGCCCGAGATACGGACGCGAGCGGCTACGCGCGTTAATTTGCGCTCGTCACTCATGCACGCTGATTTAATCTGACTTTTTTTTTAATTGCATTTTACTAACTTGTTGTATACTAAATGGATCATTTCGAGTGATTTATAGTTTCAGCTATGTTCATCTTCTACTTCAAAACATTTACCATACCTGTCTTGCTAACTGACCGTATAGTACTGATTGACATACTCAAGGAGGTGTCGATGAATGTCAACAAAAGTAAACTTTTCATATATAATTTTATACATGCAAAATTATATTTAGCAGACCTGTCTTGCTAACTGACCATATAATAGTAACTAACATCCTCAAGGAGGTGTTGATGAGTGTCAAGAAAAGTAAACTTTTGATATATAATTTAAAATGTACGGAATTTTATTTAGCATACCTGTCTTCCTAACTGACCATATAGTAACAACTGACATCTTTAAGGAGATGTCGATGAGTGTCAAGAAAAGTAAACTTATAATATATAATTTAAAATATACGGAATTTAGTTAGCATACCTGTCTTGCTAACTGACCATATGCTAGTAATAGAGATCTTCAAGAAAGTGTTGATAAAATGTAAATAAAAATAAACTTACAATGCATAATTTAGAATATGTTCAATTTTATTTAGCATACCTGTCTTGTTATCTGACCATGTACTAGTAAGTGACATTTTTAAAAAGATATAGATACGGTGACTATAAAGATAGAATATCTTTAGAATAGATACAATAAAGAAGCTTAAAATACCTAATTTAGAATGTGTGGAATTTTATTTAGCATACCTGTCTTGTTATCTGACCGTGTACTAATAATTTACATCTTCAGAAAGGCTTCGATAACTGTCAATAAGATATTAACGAAAGCAAGCTTGGGATACGTAATTTAAAATATGTGGAATTGTATTTAACATACCTGTCTTGGTAACTGACCGTGTACTAATAATTTACGTATTCAGAAACGCGTTAGTAAATGTCAATAAGATGTCAACAAAAGTAAACTTATGATACCTAATTTAAACTATGTGAAATTATATTTAGCATACCTGTCTCGGTAAATGACCGTGTACTAATAATTGACATTTTCAGAATGGTATCAATCAGTGACCATAAGATGCGAAAAGTAATCTTATGACACCTGAAATACGTGGAATTTTATTTAGCGTACCTGTCTCGATAACTGACCGTCAGTACATAACCTCAATGATACCTACTTCTAATCACAGAAAATTTACTACCGATGAATTTACTATTAATAAATGTAAAATTTATTAAAACTCAGCTTATCCCAAATAAACAATTCCACCTAATTCCAAACCTTAAAAAATTTAATTACAAAAATACTGTTAAAAAAAAATTAATACAAGAATACACAAAAATACTGTAAAATGAAATTTCTTATAAAACAAGATCTATTAAAAATATCTCTCAAAAAGTGCTCAAACACAACAAAATCCGATAACAAAATAATAAAACAATAATGAAAGTATGCAAAAATGAAAAAAAAACAAATAAAATATTAACGCAATAACTCGAACCTCGAAATCGATACAACAGTTATTTTGCACCGCATTCATGTCCTCGATAATA